CTCCAATTGCTTAGATCAATGCCCTCATTGTCAATCACTGGGTCGTCTGGTACAGACTCGATTATTTACAGATCACTGTCATATGGATGGGATATTGCTGAGTGTGGCGTTAATCAACTAATACAACATGTTTCTAATACCTGCCGTTGTGGATACCATTTTGAGAATCCTACACATTACATCTTTTCATGTCATAACTATTGCCATCTTCTAAATAATATGTACTACTACATGTGTTTTAAACATAATTATTTCAAATTGTAATGGATTTGCAAACAATCTGATTCCCTATCTATATGCTTATCAAATACACAAAAAGTATTAATTACAATACAGTTCAATACTATCAGTTAAGCAATAATGTAGTTATTAAATTGTAAGTAGATGTTTCAAGTATGAAACCATATTGATTAAATTTAACAGATTCTGACAAAAATGCATGTATCGATGAATTCTTTCAATGTTTTCTTGTACATAATTTTCAACATTACCATATTAAACCATTTTTATATCATATTCATGTGTATCATAATACATATTTTTTCTAATAATTGCGTAATTTGGACACACAAATATAAAGCAATCCAATACTTGCCGTAACAGGCGACTATGCTTGTCTAAAGAGTTGACTAACGGGATCGGGTGGTGGTCAGGCTCGGTGACTTGGTTGAAGCATGTCATTGATCCCAATTGTGTGGGTCGATGCTCATGATGTCAATCACTGGACTGTCTGGTCAAGACGCGATTATTTACATATAGCCGGAATATCGCTGAGTGCGGCATAAAACAACAAACCAAACCAAATCATAAAAAGCGCCACCACAAGTCGGGATGGGTCATTTGAGATTAGCAAGTTTTATGTGAACTTAAATCACTACAACCTGATCCGAGTCGTGAATAGATATGACTTTGATTCAGTGAAAATTTGCATCATGATAGTTTCAACTGTAGGCACAGTTAATCGCAACAGTTAATCTGATTTTTGTACAGTTTCTGTTTATTAATTGTTAAATGTCTTTGTGTTCAAATAAGCTTTGCCTCTTCACCAACCCTATTCCTCTTTTGGAATAAATAGTGTCTAATTCAAATACCATCACTACTAATCATCCTAGTGAACAAAACAAAGAAATGCACATCAAAACGGTCATTATTATATATCAGATATCTCATAAAGTAGAAAAAACTGCTATCCAGCAAGATACATTTCCTTGGTCCCCAGAAGCATGTTACATAGTAAACTGACTTGATAGGTTGAATAGCAGTCAGCGTGGTTGTAAATGCACAACTGACTAAGACGTCACTACTCAATTAAGTAATTAACAGACAATTGCAAGTGCTAATACCCACCCGACACTTATTGCCCTGTTAATCCCTAGCCCACAATGAGTTCATTTTGCTAATTAGCTTTTTTTTAGAGTAGCAAGGTTATAAACATCAAAGGTGGGGCAGGCTTTGATCATGTGTTCTGTAGAAAAGATGATGTCACTTGTTTTATGTTTATTTAGGATTAGCTACATCCCTTGAAGCTACCAAGGCAGCCCTTGAGATTATCAGACAGTTTGGCTGGACACAAACAGATGTCTCCCTTGTAGCACACTATGTGTCAGACAAGGACTTTGACCACTCTGTGCAGATGCATATCAATGCATAAAGAACATTGGGTAGATGATTCAATAAGGTCATGCAAGTCAAAGTTGGGTTTCACTGTATTTAGAAACAGACGATGGATCCAAAACCTTATAACAGTAATCATGATTAATTTAAACTTTGCCAGACCAATATTTTTGGCAGATTTGCATGTTATTATTAATCTTCATTAAGTTATTTTAAAAAAAAGATAGGATATGATAAGGTATGATAAAATATGATAAAAATATTATAAAAATATGCTAAAAAATATGATAATGATTTTAGTCAAGAATATTGCCATGAATATTTTAATTCAGATCAGAACAAACGGGGAGGGTCACCCAAAAAATGTGAGAGTCTCTAGGGGAGGGACCGGTCATGTAAAAAGGGTTTTGAAAAAATGGACAATAAAATATAAAGTGCTTTGCATTTTCTTTCAGGGAGGGTAGTGTCAGAACTGAATGAGAACATACCGGTAATACATGACCGGCCCCTTTAATGTAATATACATAGTTTTTAGTTGATGGTTCAGGTTGTGCTTTTCAGTTGAATTTCTTATCACTGTCTATGTCGGACTACCAATTAACGGTAGATATTAAATATCCATAATAACTTGGATAAATACTTCTACATTCTAATCCTAATTTGTCAAAATTTGAATTTCAATATAGCTTCCAATAATGAATGAATGAATTTGGTGAGAATATCTATTGTGAAATCCTAATGTACTTTCTTTTGTATTTGGTGTGCTAGGGTAGCCTAGTGGGTAAAACGATCTCTGAAACCCGGGTTCGATTCACCACTTGGGTACAATGTGTGAAGCCCATAGCTGCAATATTGTTAACGAGCTGCATGAAACTATACCAACTCACTCGCACATTATGTTGTATTTTGAGATCACTTACATGACCTGTCTGATTGAAAGTTTTGATTATTATGAATAGTTCTGTTTTTATGTATAAGAACCTATGTAACTTAGTTTTGCATTGTCTTGTTTACCCTTCCTTATATTTTGATGTAATGCAAACATTCAAGCAAAATTCAGGTGAACCGTGTGGCGCTTAAGGTATTGTTTTAGAAGACCGGATACATTTTTGTATTTTCTGAACACTTTTCTGTTTGCAATGGCTTATTTACATAAGATAAGTTGTCAATACCCCACTGTTCGAGAAAACAAATTTTTACATTTGTAAATATGTGTTTCATAATTTTTGAATAACAAGTTTCTAAAGATGTTATGAATTGTTTCAGGACTTGGATTTCACAATCTGACACCAGCTACATTTAAGAAGATCTTGCTCAGACATGTCAGACAAGGGACTTGCCGGATGATGAACAATCCTCCCAATAACAACCAACAGATTCACCTCAGAAAGTGATGATTCTGAATGAATAATGCCACATCAGTGTGATTGTAGGTGGTTTTATTATGACACTAATCAAGTCTGAATGAATTTATGCCAAAGTACTGTGACTATGTCCAGGTTGTGTACACCGACGCTGACTATACAAATCTGAATGACTTTTGTGGTTTACTGCAGAAACATAACTGACTTTACATATTCTTCTTCCATGAAATTCTTCTGAGATTTGGCAAATTTGTTTATTTAGAAAATTGCATTGAAGAGTCTGTTCTGTAAGTTTTTGCAAACACCACTGGTTACTTTATGCTAGTTCCTCTTCTTGCTTGATCAAATTTCAATTTGTGATATGTACCAATGAAATGTCATATAATCAATAAATATGATTTTTTCTCCAAAAACATTATTTGTTTTGCTTCATAAGCATACAGAAATATGATACTGACCAGCCATAACATAGGTGCTGAACAAATATAAAATATACTAATACCCTGAATGTTTTCCTACTATGAATACAGCTCACTTAACAAAAGTTGTAGTTCCACGCTAGTAATCAAATGACATTGATATTTTTTTCTGTGCTTTAATTAGGTGTTTTCTATGGATGCCATTTGTCTTATGCACCAATTTGGGACAATTGTATTGTGTTTCGTACTCCCATGAAACTACGCTCTCCAGATATAACAAGTACTGATACCGTTCCAAACTAATCTTTTAATTTCACCAGGGCCAATTGCCAAAGCACATAACCAATGACTTTCCATTTTTTCTGAGTGAGAATGGTGTTATGCCACTTTTAGCAATATTGCAACAATATTAGGGTGGGTGACACCAGCAATAAGCTTCACACATTTGTAACCATGTCGCGAATCGAACTTGTGAACAATGCATGCCCACATATCTCAGTTTTAGGAGGATATTTACAACTAAAATAACACAGAATATTACAACAGCTATCTCATATGTAAAGGCTAACATTAATAACCAGAAACAAGACATGAAGAAATTTGCATCCGGAAACCTTCCGGAAACCTACCAGATGCCTTCAGCAACCTTCAAATTTCTTGGTATTTTCAAGATAATTTTTTATGTGTTTCACACTTAAGTGAACAAAATGCACCCCCCAAATTTTGACATTTTTTTGGAAGGTTTCCGGAAGTTTCTGAAAGGTATCCGGGCCGGATCCAAAATGGGTAGGTATCCGGAAGGTTTCCGGAAGACGGAAACCTACACTTTTTTTGCTGTGACCCGTGTGCCCCTTGGTGACGTTTTCTGTAGTCAGGACTGCCCCCTCCATGTGTACTCCGCTCTCAACCCTCCTGTTGTTTCTCCTTCAGGTGTAGGACGTGTTCAGGGTATACGGGTACAGAGACCGGTCTGGAGGAAGACTCCGGGAGAAGGAGGGCGTGTTCAGGGTATACGAGTACAGAGACCGGTCTAGAGGAAGACTCCGGGAGGTGGAGGACGTGTTCAGGGTTTACGGGTGCAGAGACCGGTCTAGAGGAAGACTCCGGGAGATGGAAGACATGTTCAGGCTATACGGTTACAGAGACCGTCAGCTGTCTGGTCTGTGATGATGGGACCTCCCCTGTGTATCTGATCCTGGTGGTGTAGCCAGTGTTACTCCTGTTGAGTACCTCTAGACTCTGTGACTTAGGCACGACCAGTCTTGCAGCTTCTGAACCATTCCTCCATACGTAATATAGGTGGATGACATTAGGCGGGCTCGCGGTTATGTTAACATAGTAGCCAGCACGTGTGACAGTGTGTGGGTAGTCAGCTGTCACGGAGGCCAGACCTGCACGCAAATCAAATACTCATCATACAAACCTATTGATTAATGCATATTGACAGTTGACAGAAAGTTGAGAATTTATTCAAGAAAACAACAACAAAAGAACAACTATATACACTGCCAAATGTTGTTGACGAAGACAGATATATACCACACACATGTAGTCTTCAGGCCACAATCTAAAGCAGAAACATTGTCGCCATGATGCTGAGGCAACACTGACAGATTTCAGCTTCTGGTGTGATTTGCGGGCAGTGCGTCACACATAATGAGGTTTTCCATATGAAATGAACGTAGTCTGACGTGTTCTATGATAATGTTAAAAGCGATAATATTGCATAAATGTTAATGTCAATGTGATCCTCCGCTTGATATATCGAAACCATGCATATGAAACGTCAGGGCCTCGAAGCTTTCCTTGCATCGCACATCGGGGTAAACGTTTCCCTTTGCCTGTTCCCTCACATGAGGCTGTGCCTGGTACTGTGGTCTTCTGTAGAGGAAGCTGATGGATGGACAGACGTGTGGATGTGGAACTGTTCCCTCACATTAGGCTGCACCTGGTACTGTGGTCGTCTGTAGAGGAAGCTGAAGGATGGAGTGAGGCGTGTAAATGTTGAAATCTTCCCTCCAATTTGGCTGCACCTGGTACAGTGGAAGTCTGTATAGGAATCTGAAGGGTTGAGACACGTGTAGATGTGGAACTGTTCCCTCACATTAGGCTACACCTGGTACTGTGGACGTCTGTAGAGGAAGCTGAAGGATGGACAGACGTGTGGGTGTGGAACTGTTCCCTCACATTAGGCTGCACCTGGTACTGTGGACGTCTGTAGAGGAAGCTGAAGGGTGCACACACATGTAGATGTGGAACTGTTCCCTCACATTAGGCTACACCTGGTACTGTGGACGTCTGTAGAGGAAGTTGAAGGATGGACAGACGTGTGGATGTGGAACTGTTCCCTCACATTAGGCTGCACCTGGTACTGTGGACGTCTGTAGAGGAAGCTGAAGGGTGCACACACATGTAGATGTGGAACTGTTCCCTCACATTAGGCTACACCTGGGACTGTGGACGTCTGTAGAGGAAGCTGAAGGATGGACAGACCTGTGGATGTGGAAGTGTTCCCTCACATTAGGCTGCACCTGGTACTGTGGACGTATGTAGAGGAAGCTGAAGAATGGACAGACGTGTGGATGTGGAACTGTTCCCTCACATTAGGCTGCACCTGGTACTGCGGACGTCTGTAGAGGAAGCTGAAGGATGGAGAGAGGCGTGTAAATGTTGAAATCTTCCCTCACATTAGGCTGCACCTGGTACAGTGGACGTCTGTAGAGGAATCTGAAGGGTTGAGACACGTGTAGACGTGGAACTGTTCCCTCACATTAGGCTGTACCTGGTACAGTGGACGTCCATAAAGGAAGCTGAAGGATTGGGACACATGTAGATCGGAAACTGTTCTCTTACATTAAGCTGCACCCGGTACAGTGGACGTGTGTAGAAGAAGATGAAGGGTTGGGACGCGTTTAGATGGGAAACTGTTCCCTCACATTAGGCTGCACCTGGTACGTCTGTCCTCTGTGGAGGAAGCTGAAGGGTGGAGGCATGTGTAGATGGGAAACTGTTCCCTCACATGAGGCTGCACCTGGTACTGTGGTCCTCTGTAGAGGAAGCTGAAGGGTTGAGACATGTGTAGATGTGGAACTGTTCCCTCAGTAATCGCTCATAATCATGCAAGGATAAGGCATCCTCGTCGTTGATTGCAGCACAAGGTGCATCACTGATGTCACAGGATAGTCTCTCGCCCACCACAGTGAGATATTCACCAAATCTATAATTACAATGTAAAACGTACACACAAATTGTACCTTACAGATGAAATTGATTTGCACAGACAATGAAGGATACATGTATATTGTTTAAATGCGGCTGGCAATACAACCTATTATATGAAGAGAAACCTTTTTGTTCCTAACAAATTATCCATCTCCGACTTAAAACAAACACAACTTTAACATTTTCCCACCCTTTAGCACAAATCATACATAGCATACATTCATTTGAGTAATTACCATCACAAGATGCAAATGGAAATACAGCTATTTAACTATTGTATTATCATTGTCTCAGGTAACTCAAAATTATTTTGCTTTACATTAAATAGAAACAGGAGATATATCGGTGGGGGTTTTCCAAGGATATGAAGTTACCCTGAGACCTAATTTTAACATACAACTCAAGTATTTCACCTGCAACAATACAAAGTGTATGTACCTTCTGCTGTGACCATCTGAAAATAAAGAAACGTTCTACGTGTCAAATTCTTTAACGAATGAAACTTCGCGCAAAACATATATTTTTACCAAAACAGACAACACTGACAAAACAAGACTTCAGCGTTTCTAGATACTTGGCAAAAGGTGAACATAAGGTTGATTGAATTGTAAGAGAGTAATTTGTTTCCTTACCTTTTACGTCCTTGCAGACAAGAATAGCAACTGCTGCCACCACAACCGCCACAGCCGTGAGCATGACAGAGTAGACAGCTACAAGAGGGGCGATGTCGTCTACGTTCACCTCTTCTGGTGTAAGACAAAAGTTACACACATGTATAGTCAATATGATACTTCACAAGAAAATGTCTACCGTGCAGTGACATATCCCATTAGGGATTAATGTCCTATGAAATGACAATACGTATGACCAATACAACTATCCGTTTCTCGAACATGCATGCGTAATAAATAACCCAGGTTATGATTCACGATGGCTCACTAATATGTTTAACAAGAGAACATATAATGGCTTTTAAAAAACACCGTATAACTTCGGGATATCTGCTGATATATGAAGACTATCTAACCTATTTTATGATAGTTACTGTATAATTGTTATTGTTTGATCTAAATATCCAAATGAACAATCAAGGGATTTGTGTGCATTTTAGGTAATCAGGTAATCATTTCGCATAAAAGTATAATAAAACCTTTGTTTAAATATATTTACCTAAAATGCGAACAGTTACATCTATAAAACTCTTTCACAAATAGATGAGAACGTTTGCATATATGTATACTAGCGGGAAAAAGTAACTGTGCTTCATATGAAGTGATGTAAATGTTACGTGATTAAAAACTGAATATGGTTTGGACATTCGTCTGTCCAATTTTTTATCATAACAAATTCATTCACAAAACCAATAATTGGGAAAAGGCGTCAGAGAAACACGCCACTCAATTAACAATGGGGTGTGACCATCATTTGCGTTGATGCAAGCGAGGCAGCGACGACGCCTTGAAGACGCCAGATGATTGAATACAGCCTTGGGATATTGTTCCAAATGTCCAGCAAAGATTGTGCTCCCTGAACCGATTTGTCTCAACCAAAGGATGGTCTGAGCAGTTCATATGACATTTGGTATCGATTCCGTCGATACACAAACCGAATTGGTTGTTTTGTTGACGTGAAGTCACACTTGACATTAGTGTTGCGCTGCTGTAGACAACGTCTCAATAGAAATAATATTGTGTTTCAGTGAACATTTAAGTGTTTTCCAACTATGATTTGCGCCATTCTTGTTCACGGCTTACCCACGGCACGTTAATTTTATGAGCACCCAACAGCTAAACATTCATTGTGAACTGTTTACATAAAAAAACACGTGTGTGGGTATCATGCTCCCAACAAATATCCCAATTGTGCACTGTGCATAAAAATTCATGGGTAATTGTGAATCACGACATTAAAGTCGATGATATGTCTTCATGGATATGTATTAAAAGATGAATTATTTAAATTCAGAATAAATCATTTTTTAGTCAACTTTATATGAAGCAAAGTTATTTTTACCCTTTCGTGTTTCTCTCATTATTTAATGTCCAGTAGCATTCCATGAATGCTGTTGAGCATATGGTAATTATTTTCCTCTCGCTTTTTTCACAGTGTGCCATCCTCGATGATTTGACTCCTGGGCCCACTTGCACAAAATGATCTTAGTGCTACGACTATTGTAAGCCTATGGTAAAGTATGGTAGTTCCGATCATATTAGCGCTAAGATCCCTTTGTGCAAGTGGGCCCTGGTCTTAGCATTTAGGCTTTAGATGGGAGATAGGTTGACTTACAATAAGTCGTTAGATCAGGCCAATACACCATCAAACCAGTAGACAACCTAAAGACACCAACCTTCTATCTCCTGGTAGCTCCCATCTTTGTCCTCGTCCCGGACATATGAGACCATGCTGGTGACAATGAATATTAAAAAAAGATTGAAATAAGAGACAAGTTAGCCTACAGATGAGCTGTGATACATTTTCAAGTTACATTGTGTTAAACAGCTTGTATGTAGTTTCCACATTATTGCCATGCAAGCCCATATCATTGCGTAGAGAGTAACTTTTAATTCATTTCACTTGAAGATCGATGGCAGATACTCACCGATTTTGAATGGATCCTCCCTCTGAAAGTTACAACGTTGGACAGGTAATTATGCATACAAAATGCAAGATAAATAACAGATGACTCCTTGTCATTGCATACCTTGAACCTAATGGTAAATAGGTTCAAGTATGCTGTGATATGTGACTCGTTTCCTCTTACGCGATTAAGAAGTTTAGATAAAGCTGCACTTTGGTAAAAGAGCCAGTGTGACTCGTGATTTAAAAAGGTCAATCAGTGCTTAACGTTTCTAAGAAGTCACAACTTGACGACAGAAACAAATTAATGTTAGTGATAAGTTATGACTTAACAGTATGTCCATTAAAGGTTATCCAAATCAAAGAATGCGAACTGTTTTCAAGAAAGGGTTGATTACATTATTCATGAAATGATTCTCAATTACCCTGTAAAATTTAAGAAGTGTAATCCGATATAAATGCAATGGTGTTGAATGACTAATTAATATTTACGACACCAACCTTCTATTTCCTGGTAGCTTCCGTCTGTTTCCTCGTCCCGGGTATATGTGACGACGCTGAGGGAAAGGCATTAAAAATGACTTAAGCAGAAAGGACTAATCAAGGCAAACTAGTCTTCAGATAATCTGTGATACACTATCAGTTTAACTGTATATATACAGTTTTATTCATCTGACTATGCAAGGTCAGTGACATGATGGACAGCATGTACTCACCGGTTATGAATGTATCCCCTCTCTGAAAGTTAGAAATGTCTTTAGATAATTATGGATACATATTTCAAGATAAATAGAAGATAGACTAATTAATTATTTCACTGCGTACCTGTGAAATGATAATATATATTTATTTTATTCCATTCTTAACATCGTGTCTGACCTACTGTATTTACGAGAGTAAAAGGTTATGCATATAATCTCAGAAGTATTACTCTTCCTTAAACGTTGGTGTCAGACTCACTTTCCTAACACAGACTTGGTTTTGATCCTTGTGATTACTAATAATGGCCATCAAGGACAGGGAAGCATAGCCGTCTTTTCGTTTATTCAAAGTCAACGACAAGGAAGAAACCTAAATAACTGATTAGACCCAGTAATATTGATAACAACTTTGATCATTACAGCCACCCTCCCAACCCAGACACACACTACCCTCACCAAGACCGTCATTTTCATGTTGTTCTAATGGTAAGACACTGTGGTTAACAACAACAACAACAACAACAACAACAAAAACAACGACAATAACAGCCTTAATTAAACAGCTATTCATCCCATTAACGAGTGAAAACAACAATGCCGTCCTTGTTTCGCGTATATCGTATTGATAATTTGTTTCATTTGATTGATTTTACCTTAATATTGAGACTCGAACTATTCCCGCGTGATAACACACACACTTAGCTGTACACATCACATACCGTGATTACAGTAGACTCCAGGAAGAATTTTAAACCCAGAATATATCTTGTGTACAATTCAGGAAAAATAATTGTTTCGTTGACATGAATCGATCAGCTGAATATAGGACTCATTCGTAGTTAACGAAACTGAAGGGCGGTTTCTGATATCTTGATCAATGGTCACTAATGTGAGCAACGGCCAACAATGCCTGGTGCAAACAACCAGTTCATTCATGTATTCATTAAGAAGATATAGAGCTTTCGAACGTAGATTTGAAACTTGTAACATATATTCCAAACCGAACGCTATAACTCTTTACACTCTCATTAAATATTTGATTTTTACGTGTTTCTCCTGAAATATACTGCCACATTTACTGGTCATAATGTAGAAACCACAGCACGTTATTTAGCAACGTTAATGAAGTGAGATCCATATTTAAAATTGTCATACGTGCAGGATTTCCCAGAAAGGGCTTCTATCTATTTTGTTTGCGGTAATCTGGTCTTCATGGCCTAAAGTGGATCCAATACTTCTGGGGACCAATCATAATGCAGGGTTCTAAAATATTATGGTAGAATAGTTAATGTGACTCTCACGTTGTACTCATTCACACTCACACCACACAGTATTACCTTCACGTGTCTGTTTTCTACGAACAAGAAATATGACGACCACAGCGGTGACGACGATCAGGACAGAACAGACAGCAGCGACAGGGACGGTCGAAGCGACGCCAACTCCAGTAACCTCTCGTGCTGGAACATTCAAAATGTTTCTAATCTTATTTTCCCTTGGATAGATAACTTCTAGGATTGTGTTTGTTTGTTTGTGTGTGTGTGTTTTTGTGTGTGTGTTTTTGTGTGTGTGTGTGTGTGTGTGTGTGTTTGTGTGTGTGTGTGTGTGTGTGTGTGTGTGTGTGTGTGTGTGTGTGTGTGTGTGTGTGTGTGTGTGTGTGTGTGTGTGTGTGTATGTGTGTGTGTGTGCGCGCGTGTGTGTGTGTGTGTGTGTGTGTGTGTGTGTGTGTGAGATCCATATTGTTAAATGAATGGGAGTGGGTGGTACAATCAGAACGGCTGATCCTCGGAATATATCATACCAGAGCTATTCTGTGTCTGCAAATGTTTTGTCGGGTGTGGTGTTCTTTCTTGTTATGCTTATCGGTAGCCTTATACTGAATAAGCTATGTTTAACACGAAATAAGGTTGAATATTTATGTGTCACATGGTAATTTAAATAATGAATTATTGACATACTCGTTTCAATAATTACTCTCAAATTTCGCAACAACAGCGTTTACAGCAGCTGAGATGACTGAAAATGTTATCAATCATGGTTTGTTTAACCCCAATAAATGCTTGCATGCCACTGATTCTGTTACTAAAGTCTATCGCTAATGTTGTTTGAGTCTTACAGAAAACGTCCAGCGTCAGGTTCCGTGATGTATTCCCATGTATATTGTTGACGTGACACGTGTACTGCCCAGACACAGATCTGTCTACAGCTGGTATATACAACACATCCCCCCTCTGTCCTGTGATCTCCCTCTGTATGGATGTGTCCCACCAGGTCAAAGTGCAGGCGGGGTTACAGTCAGCAGAACATCTCACTGTGAGAGGGTCACCTTCTACTGCCTTTAGCCTGTCACTTGCACCGTTAAACTGTATCTGGTCAGGTCCATCTGGAATGTTTGATGTACTATGGTCAGTAGTTCCACACTGTATCACCAGCTTACGACGGAAAATGCTACTGCACGTCATAACGGTTCATACTGATCCTGAATACTGTGATGTACGCGTACAGTTTGGTTTTGTAATATATGTGTTAAAAGCGAATTAAACGTGCGGTTTGTTTCTGTGACATGTGTGTGACTACTGGAAATACGCATGTGACATGGGCCAATGTTGTACAAGAGGGAAGGGTAGAATGGGGAGTGAGTGAGTGAGTGAGTGAGTGAGTGAGTGAGTGAGTGAGTGAGTGAGTTGGGTATAACGCCGCTTTTAATATTATTCCAGTAATATCACGGCGTGTCAGCTTAATGTGGTAGGAAAGCCCGAAGTGATGCAGGTCTTAGACGTTTGCCACTTCGGTGAAACCCACGACGATGGGAGCGACACCAGCTTTAGTAACCTAAGTGCTGGAACATTTAATAAATAACAAAAGAATTGTTTAGGATTATAATGTTTCCGATATATAACATATGAAATAAGCAGTCACTTTAATTTCTAAATGTGGTGAACTTCAGTAAAATTGTCGCACATCTTACGAGTTATTGGAAGTTTCGTTTGTCGAATTAGGTAGTAAATAAACAATCGATTTCTGTCTTTAATACAGATCTGTGTTAAGTTGATTTTGAATGAACAGAAACGCTTTGCCATTTGAAAGAATCTCAAGAATGACATTGACGTGATGTCACATCATCAGAATATAGTCAATATTACCTGTTTAAATGATTAATCATCTCTGTGGGTTTAGATAAAGTTGAAATGAATGAAAATGAAAACACTGTATCACTAGCTAAACGGAAAATGCTACTGCACGCGACAGCGGATCCTTCTGGTCCTAAATAATGTGATGTACGCGTACAGTTTTGTAATATATGTGTGAATAGCGAGATAAACATGTGCAGTTTCTTGCTGTGACATGTACGTGTGAGACTACTGGAAATACACATGTGACGGAGGGGCCAATATTGTACAAGGGGGAGGGTAAGGATGGGGAAGGAGGGATGAGTGAGTGATTTGGGTATAACAACGCTTTTAACAGTATTCCAGTTATATCACGGTGTGTCGGCTTTATGTGGGAGGAAAGCCCGAAGTGATGCAGGTCTCAGACGTTTACCACTTCGTTGAAACCCACGAGCACGGATATCGTGCTGACAAACCTAGAGACATAATCGGGGCGAACGTGTATTCGAACCGAAAATCACCTCTGCACAGCAAATCGCGGTGCCTTAGACGACTGGGCCCTGGAAGGAGGTATGAAAAAGAGAGGTACAGTGAAGGGTTGAAAAAGAGGAAACGCTGTAATTTTCACGATCAATTAAGGTTAGTGTTTCTGAGGGAAACCCCGATCATAAAATATTGAGGTTATACACACTTTGCATGATGACCTTGACCATGACAGTCAACCCATCTTATTACAGAATAATCAGTTTTACTTATGTAGTGTTGCTTAAGAGTAATTTTGTAAGTACGTATGTGATAGACAAAATTGGAGCCAACATGTTACAAATGATTTCGTTGTATCATGTGCAATGACAAGATCTTATTTCATGTTTAAGACGGGTGGTGAGGTAGACTAGTGGTTTAAGCCTTCGCTCGTCACCTCGAAGACTCGGGTTCGATTCCTACATGGGTACAATGTGTGAAGCTCATTTCTGGTGTTCCCCGCCGTGATATTGCTGGAATATTGCTAAAAGTGGCGTAAAACCAAACTCACTCACTCATGTTTAAGACGGATCCTCTAAAGTGTTGCAAGGAAGTTTACTGAGGAGAGGAGATTGGTACTAATATTATATGTTTACCTAAATTAAAAATGCACTGATGCGGTGGCCATTTGAATTTGTCGAACCTCCAATCAGCAAGTGGATGTACAACCTGGTATGTGAACATGCATTTAAAATGTTTCATTGCTAACAGAAGGACCGACCTGTAGACAACGGACGTCGGACGAAGCCCATTATACAATTTTACACTGCCAAAAAAGGGATCGTTTAACTGGTGATTAGCAACAGTGCATAAAGCGTTCATATCTGATGGTACCTGGAAGGATTTCCTTCAGATATAATGTATGCAAGTATTCTCACAATTCTAAGAAAAGAATGTACAAAGCATGTATCATATATAGCGTACTGGAAAACTGTTGCTTTTGAAACAGGAGTAAACGTGTTGATAAATAATAACAGTAGCGCACAACTGACAAGTCAAGATTAGGTAAGAGCTATAAGTTTGCTAATGATCTAATCCATTTTTATTTTGTTACGGAATTTGCATTTGCAACGCGGGGGTGTGCTAATGTGGCATGGCCGTGGTTTACAGTGAAGACGCATGGACGCTTTCAATCGATTGAAAGTTGAAAGATTGATATGTCATGGCCCAGTGACTGCCATCAAGCCTATCACAAGCGTCAAGGGAAGAGCACGGCGTCATTAGCGTCAGATACTTGCGTCATTGGCGTCACATGTTCAGTGACAAGATTTCTTTCACATCTTATAGATAAGTCGTGTCTGGAGTGGTTTACAATGGAAAGTTTGCATACCTGAGAAGGTAAATGAAAGGTGTTTAAAGAGAATATTTTAAGCTCTAGTTTTATAGGGCCACTACATCGGTCTGTAGAAAGGACGATTTAGCATAGTAACTTAGCCATTGTGAATTAGAATACATCCTTTCTACCTAGATTTTCAACACGTGCAATAGATATTCTAAGAACAACAGTATACAATGTTTTAAATTATGCTTCTTAAAACAGTTCCAATAAAAACGCCGTCTCCTTGAATTAATATATTGTTGTTGAGACTACATTCAAATTGTTAACAGCCATAAATGGTGTATGAATATGGAATATGTACCTCAAGATATCGCTCAATGGAGGTTGGACTGAGGTTTCACTATATGCTATTCAGCAATGTTCGTTCAACATGTCATGGTATTTGGTATATGTTTATTTGGTAATGGTTCACATATGTTTCATTTTTACCTTGATTTTTGATTTGTGCTTTACCATGCTCATAACTCATCTAAAAATGTAAACATCTCTAGACCGCCTCTGTGGTCAAGTGGTAGAGCGTCCGCCGCGTCATACCAAAAGACGTTAAAAGATGGTACTTGTTGTTACCCTGTCTGGCGCTCGACATAAAGGGCCTAAAACAGGGACTGGTCAGCTCGGAGTCAGTATGCTGAGTCTGATTGGGGTATTCATGTTAATCTGCGGCATGGTATCTCAGTGGGCATTGATATGCATTGATATTTAAAACCCTAGACAACATATCCAGGTGCCGTGAAAACATTTGTATAGTGATCATGAATTTTCTATATACCTTCTGAAACTGCAATGAATATGAAGCTGAAACTTTTCACAGCTGATTTTGACTTTGGTGTCTATTATCCCGACACGACCCGCCGACATACTTTGAAAATACTTCCGAACATAAACGTTATTATGAACAATGCACAATGCTTCTGAAAATACAGTTCTCACAAAACTGTAGCTCAGAACCACAGTTGGAAAGATAAGATACTTCGTTCTCATACCTTAAACAAGGTAAGTTCTTACTCACACTGAACCTCCATTACATGTCCGTGACTCCAGTCAGACTCCAGCCCCTCCTCCAAAGCCTGGCAGGTGTAGATGTCTCCCTGGTTCTCTCTGCTGATGTGGGTTATTGTCAGGTCATCTCCGCCTGTGTGAGACCCATCACCAGATCCTAGCAGGGTCCTGTTCCTCCTCCAGGTGTAGGTCATGTTCAGTGGGGGGTGGTCCGGGGGCAGACTCTGGGAGGAGGAGGAGCATGTCAGGGTGACATTCTCACCTGAGACTACTGAGGCACGTCCTGTGATGTTAGGTGTGGTCGGCTTCTCTGTTAAAATATTAATATTTCAAAATAAACCAGTCAACCAGGACCATAGAATTGTGTCGTTTTATATGTCTAGTAAATGGAGTTCAAATTAACAATGTTTTATCATGATGTCTTGACCATTATATTACTGTAATATTCGAACCTCATTACATCTATTATTTTATCACCAACAACCGTTAA